CTGAACTTGAAGGCTTTGCTGTCTGCGACCAGGGCAAGAGCCAGCAGCTACTGGTTTCCCAGGACTGGTATGCCTGCCAGTTAGCTAGAGTGAAGAGTACTGGCTAGGTGTGTTGAGAATGTGGGTCTAGTCCAAAACTTTATTTCTAAATAAATTTCCAAATTTTAAAAATAGTTTGAATACAGATTAAATTCAGTATTAAGGGTTACATAGGGTCATGATAAGGAAGGGTCTTACCAGAGTTTCTGGGATGCTGGCAGGATGCTACTTGTTGACCTGAATGGTGGTTACATTGGTGTTGATTTTGTAAAAATTAAGTGATACATTAATGTTTTGCACATTTTTTTTATAATTTATAATTTTTAGAAGAAGTTTACTTAATATATGGATTGCAGTGGTTTATTCTAGGTGATGGGATTATGGGTTGTATGTTTTGCTGTTTAATATTTTCAAATATATTTTTTGACTAAATTATTTTTAATTTGGATAAGAGAACTGAAAAATACTTTTCTTGTTTACCTTCAGGGACAACGATGAGTGGTGTTCTGTTTCATGGTTTTGTAATGGAGGTGTCCTGTGTGCCTTATATCTTGAACATTGTTTGGTCCCTCTTGCAGGAACAGATATGCTAAAGTTACTCATATGATGATTTGTTAATTCTCTATTCCTTCAAGATAATGTCACTGTTTTATATTTCATGCGTTATGTATGCTTACATATACAAGTATTAAACAAGTCAATAGAATATAGAAACTTTTTTAATCAGAGGAGGGGACACCAGCTGGAACCTGATCTGTCTGAAGAAGTGTCAGCGCGACTCCGCCTGGGCAGTGGGAGCAATGGCTTATTCAGGAGGAAAATGTCAACACTTGAGACAAAAGAAAAAAATTGCTCAGGCAAAGAGAGAGATAAAAGAACAGATGATCTTCTTGAACTTACAGAGGTATTGTTTCATGTGTTGCTCAGAATAAGAGACATGGTTTTGAATAACCCGTTATTCGAGACTTGAGTGACTATTTTGAAGAGTTTCTTCAGGCTATGGATAAATTTATGAAAGAAATCCGTCTTACAGGCTATTCAGTCACTGACTACATGGATCATTAGTGATCTGTGAAGGTCGCCTAAGGGATCAGTTTAATGTTTAACAAATGTGGGTAGACATAATTGTTACATATCTTGAAATATAATGGATTCTTTGTATAGTCTCTAACCGTAAAATATTTTGGGTTACATAGAATGGTTTTGGCATGAGAAATGAGTTCGTTGCAGTTTTAAGTGACTATGGTTTACTAAAATTCTTTTGTTGATCATTGCATTTGAAAATAGTAAAAACTTATAGAAAACAAGGAAATGAAGATAGTTAAAAATTTTAAAGGTGAGCTCATATCTTGGCTCATCCCCCCCCCCCACCACCACCACACTTTTATTTCTAAAACTCAATCCTTAATTTGTTAAAGGTACAAACTTTAAAGTCTAGGTCTTCCTTAAACTTTTAAGTTCAATTTAGATATATTATTACCTTTTATTGGCTCCTTCTTCATTGTCATCTTAGTAGGTGGTAGTCAGTCCTATTCAGTGATTACCTCTTGAGCACTTAACTATATATTGGGCATGCAGGTGGCGAGAGAGCCATAAAATTACAAAATTGTGTGCAGTAGGGACAAGCAATATTAACAATATTGATCTGAAATAATTTCTGTTGGGTTTATAGATTCGGTCTTGTAGCTTAAATATGTATTTATCTGTATAATTTTTTAGATGAAGTCACCTATTCACTAAGGACACAGGGTTAGACTGCTGCCTAGTTTCCCAGTTTCTGCCTGTTTGCTTACTCTCCTCATATCCAAGATGAATAGTGTGATCCTTAGGTGTCCTAATTTTATTACTTTGATGTAGTTAAATAACAGGTTAGGAGGGAAATAAAGAAAGTATGAAGATACTCTTTTTTTTTTTTATGAAGATACTCTTAATAAAATATTTGAAAAAGGAGCAAAGGCTAGTAAGTTAGCCACTCCTGGGTTCAAATCGTGGCTCTGCCTGTTAATAATCTATGAGTTCGAGCGTGTAACCTAAATTCTCTGAGCGTTGCCTTTTCCATAAAATATATTTTCCCCAGAAGCAGGGATCAATGATGTGCTTCAAGCATCTGGTACCATGTTTGGCCCATAGTGCTCAATAAATGGCAGTGGGATACTTGAGACTATCTTAAATGTAAATAATATTAACAAATTATTTTCAGAAGCTAATAATTCAACTAGCATTTTTTTTAACCATTAGTAAGACTTTTGTAGTCTAAGTTTAAATCTTTTCATACGTTAATTTAGTAGGTCTTTGAGGGTATATTTTCTCAAGGGTCAGGTGTTAACAGGTGAAATTGGCTTTTTCAGTCTCAGACTTTTCAGTCTCTGATAGCAGCTTTATATTAAAGTAGCAACCTCTGGACTTTCTAATTTAGGACATGGAAAAGGAAATCAGTAACGCCCTGGGCCATGGCCCACAGGATGAGATCCTAAGTAGTGCTTTCAAATTGCGCATCACTCGAGGGGACATCCAGACCCTGAGGAACTTTCACTGGCTCAATGATGAAGTAAGTTATGCTTGACCAGTTACTATCCATAACCACAGTGGTATCTACCCAATTATAAGGGGTTGGTAAAGCAACTTCTAGTTTAATCTACAACAAAAGCATCTTGGACTTTAGCGAGATGGTTCATTCTGATTGTTTGCTGCCTTTAATTGGCATTATTTCCCTGTTCTGCATCTGTGCTTCACTTCATTCACCACTTCATTCACTAGTCTTCAATGATGTTTTTATAAACCCTGGGTGCAGCTGATGAATGGAAGAAAGCAGCAAGTGATACTTTATTTTAGATGAATTTTATAGGAACTGTTTTAATTTTTAAAATAAAGGGATATATTGATCACTGTATGTACACTATATGTCTTTTTCTTTATTTCATTTGAGTGATAACTGCAAAAATTCACCTAATTGTCATCTTGTGTCCTTATATATTTAGCTAAAGCTAGCTTTTAATTCTTGCCAATTTTCCAGTTGGTCCTTTACCTAACTGCTCAATTCCTACATTTTCTTTCTTTGCCTTCCTTCCTGCCCGCCCTCTCATGACTACTGACATATATAAACAAATTCTTGTAATACTAGTGTGTTTTATTTCACATGATAAGTTTAACATGTTTATTACAAAAAATTTAGAAAATTCAGGAAAAATGAAAGAAGTGCCACCACAAAAAAATTAATAAAATATTAATGTTTTGGTATATTTCCTTTGAGTTAATATTTTAAAATTGAGGTGTAATTTATATATAGCAAAATTTACTTCCATTTAATATTTCTGCATATTTTTTTGTGATACGGTTACATACACCTTTTCATTATTGCAGACTTCCTCCTTGAGTTCCTTCTCTTGACTCTCTTACTAATATGTCTCAAAAGTATAATTTCATTCCTTTTTAGTTCCTCCCATTTTATACTGATTATTTTTATATTTCATCTTCTGCCATGGAGAGTTCTTTTATCCCCTTCTCTGGTACCATCCCTTCACTAGGCTTCTTACCATCTAATGAATCTGAATTCAGTTAGGTTAGAAACTTAGTTTTGATAATGTACTTGCCGTGTTCCAATGTTTACTCTTGGTATTACAGGTCATTAATTTTTACATGAATCTTCTCGTGGAAAGAAATAAAAAACAAGGCTATCCAGTACTTCATGCATTCAGTACTTTCTTCTATCCCAAATTAAAGTCTGGGGGTTACCAGGCAGTGAAAAGGTGGACCAAAGGGGTCAATCTCTTTGAACAGGAACTAATTCTGGTGCCTATTCATCGGAAGGTACATTGGAGCCTGGTGGTGAGTCGAGAGGGTTAATTGTTGGAGTTTGGATGATGACTGTTTTCTTAAATAATGAAGGCTGCCCTTTTCTGTCCAGTGAAAAGTTCATACTATATGTTAAAGGCATACTAGCAGAATCCCTTCTTGGTTCTTGAGTTGAACATCTTAGAAAGATAGAAGAGAGTTGCTTTCACTGAGTAGCTTTCATTTTTAATAGGCAAGAGTTTTAGTACACATGGGTCATTTATTAGTTTTGTTTACAAGATGGTACAGGTTAGTTGTAGAAAAGTAAAGGTATAAAGAAAAAAGCAAAAAAGAAATCTCATTACTCTGAAAGGACCACTAGTGTTTTGGGGATTGAGTTTCTAAGCCTTTCTGTAGGAATAGAAGAGTCAAGTTTTATAGAAATGAAGCTTATCTGTGATATTTATTAAAAAATGTGTCTTAGAGATCCATTCATGTTGGTACATGTATTGACTTTTTTAAAAGATGCTTTTCTTTTTTAGAAATAAAATTCTCGCTCCTGTTATGATTGTTTCTGTATGTTGCATTTTTCCATTATAGGTGATAGACCTACGAAAAAGGTGTCTTAAATATCTGGATTCTATGGGACAGAAGGGCAACAGGATCTGTGAAATTCTCCTGTAAGTAAAGGCTAAAAACTTCCCTGTTATCTCATTATGCCCTTGTTAGGTGATCTGTCTTCAGTTTAATCCTGTAGTCTAACGTATAGTCAAGGCTATCTTCCCAGTTGTTCAGGACTTGAACCCACTCTTTTGTTTAAAAATAACCTAATATCTGATCTTAACTGAGAAGTCTTGTTTAGTAGCATCATTGAAAGCAAGTTTGTCTTGTGTTATAATGTAAAATATATCTTACTAGAATCCTGGGATTTGAATTAGATTTATTTGGGATTGATAACATTATTCTGAATGATGCCCGGCCAGTGTGGCTCAGTGGTTGAGCATTGATCTATGAACCAGGAGGTCACAGTTTGATTCTGTCAGGGCACATGCCCAGGTTTCAGGCTCAATCCCCAGTGGGGGGCATGCAGGAGGCAGCTGGTCAATGATTCTTATCATTGATATTTCTCTCTTGCTCTCCCTTCCTCTCTGAAATCAATAAAAACGTATTTTTAAATGTAGTATGTGGTCCATGTTCTGATTTTGTTTCCTTATCCAGGAAACCAGTCAGGGTTCATGCATGTATTTTATGTCTTTAGTCACCTTTAATTTAGAATAGTCTTCCTCCCTTTTTTTTTGTTTTTCATTGGAATTGGCTTTGTATCTTTTTTTAAAAGTCAAAGCCAATTGTTTTGTTTTATATCTGTCCTTAAGTGAGAAAAAAGGTTGTAAAATGAAGTTCATTTTTTAATAGAATAAAATGTATGTTATTGTTTTTGATGAGAGAGAGAGAGAGAGAGAGAGAGAGAGAGAGAGAGAGAGAGAGACACAGAAAAAGAGGGGGGGGGAGAGAGAGGGAGAGAGAAACATATAGAAACATAGGGGGTGGGAGAGAGAGGAAGAGAGAGAAACATTCATGTAAGAGAGAAACATCGATGGGTAGCTTCCCAGATGTGCCCCAACTGGGGATCAAACCTGAAACCTTTTTGGTGTGTAGGACAAATGTTCCAACCAACTGAGCAACCAGACTGGGACTAAGATGTAGGTTTGAATTGTGTGTACGGGGTGGAGTAGAGGAATACACAGCAAACTTTTTTTGTTTGTTAACCCTCACATGAGGATGTTTTCTATTGCTTTTTAGAGAGAAGTATAAGGTAGGGCAGGGGGAGAGAGAGAGAGACACATTGATGAGACATCTGACTGGTTTCCTCCTGCACGGTGGGGAGCAAACTCAGGTACATGCCCTTGACCAGGAATTGAATCCGAAACCCTTTGGTGTGCAGGCCGATGCTCTAATCATTTAGCAACACTAGCCAGGACGTGCACGATTTTAAAAAATGTTTTTATTGCTTTTAAAGAGAGAGGAAGGGAGAGGGAAAGGGAGAAACATCTATGAGAGAGAAACATCAACATTGATTGGATACCTCCTGCACACCCCACACTGGGGATTGAGTCCACAACCTGGACTTGTTCCTTAAACAGGAATCGAAACGCATGACCTCTTCATGCATGGTTGGATGCTCAACCACTGAGCTACACCAGCCAGCCACAGCAAACTATTAATAATAATTCTGAACTGGTTATTATGGGTCTTTTGCATTTTACATTTATATGTTTTAACTTTTAGAAAATAAGCATGTACAATTTTTGTAAGCAGAAAAGAATCCCAAAATTAAAATTTAAGACCAAAAGCTAATGAAGATGGGATTGAGAATGGCATATCTGTTAAACATCACAAAGTCCTTTGTAATTATAATGTTGTCTTTAAGGGATTTGTCAATACATTGTTTCTTGTTGTTTTTTAGTCAGTATTTACAGGATGAAAGTAAGACCAAAAGAAATGTTGATCTGAATCTTTTAGAGTGGACGCACTACAGCGTGAAGCCACATGTAAGTGCTGAGCATCTGTATTTCAAGTACTTCATTGCGCTTCCTGTCAGAGGCATATTACTTCTGCTTGACCTCCTTCCTCCCACCCCTCACACTCACCCTTAGGCATACATTCTCCTGAAGTGTGTGTACATCTTATGAATGATCTACTTCTTAATCTTTTTAGCCAAGATGCTTGCTTCTTAGCCTTTATCTTCTTGCTTAACTTATAAATGTTATCTACATGCTCATATGTCTCAAAAAATTGAAGAAAAAGCAGAAAAGAAAAACCTCAATAAATTCAAGTCAGCTACTTGTCTTGGTAGGCCCTAATGAAAATTTGAAGTTCTTGTTCAAAACTTATCTGGACATTTTGTATATTTAGTTCTATGCTGTTTGTGAATGTGTTTGGGTCTTGCCAGGTTTGAATCTCATTCAGGGTTGAAAAAGGTGTACATCTTTGAGTCCTAATGACTTCTTTTTAAAGCAAGGTACATTAATTCAGTTTTAGCCCTAGCCTGTGTCTACCTGGCCAAAAGCATTTTCGTTTCTAAGTTGAATAATTAGGAAGGTAAGCTTTAAATTTTCCTGAGGAGAGCACAGATACAAGAAGTCTGTTAGGATGAAAACCGTGTACTGGGAAATGTAACAAAGAAAACAAGCTGTCTTTATTTGTATATTGGCAATTATAGTTCTTTCCAGTCTGGAGGAGATGCTGGGCTTGGGAGAAAAGTGAGAAGTACCTACCGTCTGTATGGGTGGTGTGCATGTTTAAACAATTTTTCCACAGTAATCATCTGTATTTGACTAAAAATTGAGCTGTTTTCATCTAGTATGTTTTCCAGCAGTGGAATCAGACTCTCTTATGCTCTTATTACCTTGTGCTCATTATAACAGTCAAAGTGTGTTAGGGGCTGGCCCAGATTAGTGCAACGGGGCTGGGGATGTGTCAGTTTATTACGTCACTTGGGCTTATGATACCCTTTTGCTTCGGCACAGAACTGAGCAGCAAGGCAAGGTTTCCTAATTAGTTAGAGCTTACAAAAGGTTTTTTTTTGTTTGTTTTGTTTTGTTTTTTAAATTTCTTTATTGATTAAGATGTTACATATGTGTCCTTATCCCCACATTACCCCCATTCCCTCCCCTCTCATGCCCTCACCCCCCTGTTGTCTGTGTCCATTGGTTAAGCCTATATGCTTGCATATAAATCCTTTGGTTGATCTCTCCTCCTTACCCCCACCCTTTCCTACCATCCCTCTGAGGTTTGATGGTCTGATCGATGCTTCTCTGTCTCTGGATCTGTTTTTGTTTATCAGTTTATGTTGTTTCGAGAGGTTTTTTTTGTTTTTTTGTGTGTTTTTTTAATCCTCCCCTGCTTGCCAGAGCAGTAGTCTTATTCTCCTCTAGGGAAGAGAAGCTTAACTCTGCAATATTGAAGTAGGTTAGCTGTCTTGTAGACATATTCCTGATTGAGCCACACTTAGCCCTTTTCAGAATTTATAAATTTCTGAAATAATTCTGACTAGAATTCCTTTTCTTGGTAATAAACCTTCTTTCAATTTGGTTTCTTATAAAGTTTCTTCATGGAACTCTCACTTTTCTATTTCCTTCTGAAAAACATTTTCTATGGGGTCACATACTCCATGTCATGGTTGGGATTTTAATGCCACATAAAGACTGTGTGTGTGTGTGTGTGTGTGTGTGTGTGTCTATTGTGTATATGTTTAATATTTACCTTTATAATATTGTTTACCCACAGTAACATTTAGAAAAAGCCAAAGGAGTTTGTATTTAATGAAATTTTACCTCTTCTTCCCTTCCTTTTTTTGTAATTTTAGGAGATTCCTCAACAGTTGAATGGGAGTGATTGTGGAATGTTTACTTGTAAATATGCAGATTATATGTCTAGGGACAAACCTATCACATTTACTCAGGTGAGTGAAGACTCTTCCCCATCCACTTGTTACTAAACAAGATAAACTTAGAGCTTGTTAGCAGCACCTGGTGCACATTAAGATCTTAATAATGGTAGCTGTGCTGCTGTCATTGCTGTAAACTTGGCTGTAGCCCTACTCTTGCTAATATGAGGGTTTGTCACTGCATCTGCTCTCAGGTTTTTCCTAGTCTTCATGATCATTGGGTCAGTATGCTGTCTTTCACCTCCAGTGTTCACCAGTTTCTGAATATGACTGATATTTTTAGCTGAAGGAAGCAGGTTAGAATAGGTAACTGCAAGGGGAAATCAGGCCTTGTAAGCCACAGGTCTAAGCTGTAATTATGAATTCTGCTTTTCCCTTGTATTCTAGTTATTATTGGTTCCTAAAGCTCTGTATTTGAGTGAAAATTAAAATATGTTGGAAACGAGAATTTGTGTTTGTAATAGTGGATTCTCAACCTTTTTACAACTGAAGAAAACCCCCTTTAAAAATATTTTTCTTAACCACACCTCATTTTGATAGATGTTGTCTACCAAACTGTACTTATTGGCAGGCGAGAATTCTACCACTGAACCACCAATGCTCACCAAACTGTACTTATTGACTAGTAGGACTGATAACCCCATTCCAAGTTTTGGGGCAACATGAAAGAACCAGGGCTCTGATGTGGAATTAATACTGTTCCAGTGTTAAATAAAGGCACTTACTATGAGCTTCAGCACTTTCACTAAGAATAAATGTACAGCTTCTTACTACATGTTTTGAGCTATTTAAAATATACAAATCCAGAAAGAAAAGAAAATACAAATCCATGACTTAAGACTTTTTAGGTCTCTCCAGGTGGGAAATCACTAGTAAAGGGGTATATCCAGCTATTTATTTTTATTATTATTTTTAAAGTATATTTTATTGATTTTTTTACAGAGAGGAAGGGAGGGAAGAGTTAGAAATATCGATCAGCTGCCTCCTGCACACCCCCCACTGGGGATGTGCCTGCAGCCAAGGTACATGCCCTTGACTAGACTCGAACCTGGGACTCTTCAGTCCGCAGGCTGACGCTCTATCCACTGAGCCAAACCAGTCAGGGCTATCCAGCTATTTATAACGACACACCAGGAATACCTCAAGGGCGTAACTTCAGATTTCATATAAAGAGGACTAGTTGAGTTACAGATGATTTTGGATTTACCTTGTATGTTGCTGCTTTGAAAATTGCCCCATGTAGTGATTATCAGTTAAAGCAAAATAACATTAAACAAAGAATCTCATTTTTTGATGCGTTTAAATAACAAGTGGTTATTTGTTCTGAGCCTAAAGACATGAGATTTGAAGGGGAGAAGTTGCTGTTTGAACAGTATTGGCAATGCACAACATTTGGTAGAGCATAAAGAAATCTGTTGAGTTGTTTTTTCTTTACTTAGAGTTCATGTTTTTCTCAGAGAGCAGAATATATTAATTTTAGAATGTTTTGAAAAAATATAAGTAGAAAAAGTTATCTATTGTGCCACTTCTTGGATATTCCCATTTTTGGTACACATTTTTGTTATGAGGTTGTTGGACTTTATAATTCTCCAAATTTTCCTTAACATGTAAAAATACTAATGATACATCCTAATATATAAAAACCCAGGGTCCGTAACATCTAAAACGACCAAAGGCTCGACCAACAGGAAGTCAGTCACTGCCACCGCTGTGGGCGCCCTGACCCAGTACTGACTGCTGAGGGGGCTGCAGGTCAGGCCCAAAGAGAGGCCTGGAGAGAGAAGCAGGATCTAATCCATAGCCTCCGTGGCAGCAGTTGATGAACACTTGCCTCTCTCTCTCGCTCCGGGCCTGGCCAGCAGCCGCGACTCTC